AAGGGGCAGGTGATGGCAATTGGGAGAACTGTGTGAGGTGCCTACTTTGAAGGGGACTGAGGCATCATTGTCCTAAGTTCAGTGTTTCTTGTATCTTGTATCTTCTTCCATAAATATCTCTATTTTTCATATTACATAGCTGGATACCTTCTGGACAGACCTTGTACATAGAATTCCTTCATGGTTGCTATAATTCAATGCAGTTTTCTTGGTGATTTTTATATTTATGTGATATTTACTCTGTTCCCACCCCATCCCTCATATATAATCTTTGTAAATATAAACTTGTAATTTACAAAATTGTAAATAACATACTTTTCAGTAGAGAAGAATAATGTAGACCTGTATGCAGTATATAAACAGACCTTTATAAATTGACCTCTTTAAATTCTGTTATGTTTTGATTGTTGTTTCAAGACTTTTTTTTGAACATGGTAGTGGTTTAGGGTTTCTGAGTCTGTAAGAGGATTATATTCTCTGCTCTTCTTCATTTATATCCTTTTCTCCGAAACATTTTCCAGGTCTTACTCCTGAGCATCTTAATGTGCTTTTCTTTGAAAACAGATTTTACATACCTTGAAAAGGCTATAGGTCATGTCTTCATTTTGTATGTAGTCTGTGGCATATCTATATTTCTGAAGCCTGGAAATCATTTGCTGGCTTGTTTTTGAAGCTATTTATTTAAGTAAATATTTATTGTCCATTTTATAATGGTATGTGCAGTTAACTCTAGTAATACTGAAATCATAGGCAATGAAATTTTAGACCATACTGGTTTCCCATTGATGCTTTTCTCATTTGTAGTTCATTTTCAGAATGTAGAATATTGGGAATCATTATTTAGACAAGGGAAGCAAGTTATGTGCTATAAGTTATCTTCCTATTAGGAATAAAGTTTTATTGAAACATAACTGTTCCCATTCAATTACTATCTATGGCTGATTTTGTGCCTCAAATGGCAGAACAGAGTATGGCCCACAAAGTTGAAAGTGTTTACTACCTGACCCTTCACAGAAATTTTTTGCCAAATTTTGGTTTAGAAGATGTTGGAATTCTTCCTTTTAAGGATATTCAGAGTTTTAAACAAAAGATAATGGAGACTGGCTAATTGAGGGGAACATTTGTCCTTTTAAATATTCTTTTAGTACCTTCTGATTTTTGTATTTTACAAATATAGTGATTTTAAAAAATGTATAAAACATGCATGTAGTACATAATTTAAAAATGTACAAAAGGATATATAATGAATGAAGAGTACCTGCCCCTCATTTTTGTTCCTTCATTATTCATTTCTCCCTTCTAGAGGAAACCACATTACCAATTTTTTGGCTTTTTTTTTTTTTGCCAGAAATAATCAATGTATTATAAGCATACTTATTTTTCTTACTATCTTTTTTATTCCTTTTCTATAAAAGGTGGTATTATCAGACTATTACAGGTTGCTTTTAAAAATTTATCATGAATGTGTCCTGCCTGGTGTGGCTCATTGGATTGAGTGTTGGCCTATGAACCAGTGGGTCTCCAGTTCGATTCCCAGTCAGGGCACATGCCTGGGTTGCAGGCCAGGTCTCCAGTAGGGGGAGCATGAGAGGCAACCACACGTTGATATTTCTTTCCTTCTCTTCCTTCCTTCCCTTCTCTCTAAACATAAAACAATTAAATCTTTAAAAAATTTTATTCTGAATGTTGTTCCATAACAGTATATATTAAACCACTTCATTTTTTTTTTTAGATGCAGAGTTTGTTTGTCCAGTCTCCTGTTGGTGGACATTTAGGCTTTCTGTGTTTTGCTATCAGTGTGACAATGAACACATCATTTTGCACATGTGAAAGATTAGCTTCAAGATAAATTTTTAGAAATAGAATCGCATGGTCAAATGTAATGGGCATTTAAAATTTGGTAGATGTTGCCAGCCCCTCTCCACCCAATCCCCATAGATGTTGTACTGATTTATAGCCCCACCAACAATATGAATCTTTATTCCCTTGTATATCTATCAATTGTTTTCTAGTCTTTGTCTCATTAAGTGAAAAAAGGAATCTTGGCAATTTAATTTGCATTTTTCTGTGTGAGGTTGATCATCTTTACTAGTGATTAAGAGCCATTTGTAATTTTTCTGTTTAATTTCCATTTATATCTTTTGCTTGTAATTAATTGTTGATCTTTAAAAAATGAGATTGCAGATGCTATTTATATATTAATAGGCGGTCCTTTCTCTTTTGATATAATGTACTTTGTTTTCTGGTCAATTGGAGTATTTTGGAAAATTGCATTTTATGTTAGGAAGCATTCAAAGGGTTGTTAACCCTTCTTTCAGCTAGTTAGTAGGTATTGCTCATCAGTTCTTTTCTCAAGCACTCAGAAGTTTGGTTTAAGCCTGCTGTTACTAAAATCGTTAATTTTCCCTCCAAATTAAAAAATGAGTATATATCCATGTAAATATAGCAGTATATATCCAGAGACAAAATAGACTAATATCTAGCTATTAGTCTTTGGTAATACCTTTTTCTTTTCTAATCTAAAAATTGTAAGTAAATGATTCTAGATGAAAAAAGGACAAATACATATTTTTAGACTGAAATATTACAAATTAGACTGACTACCTAGGGATCATACTAATAATCACTGTCAAAGATGTAAGGGGAAGAAGAATAAGGAAGTGTAGTTGTGTGCCCATTCTCGTGTGTGTTATTACATTTAGTCCTCAAACGCTGTTAAAGTGTGGGGAGCAGGTGGGTATGCTACTTATATATTACAGATGAGGAAACCACAGAACCAAATAGGTACATAGGCGCAACCCAAGATAGATGTCTGTTGTGAACAATTCTACTATAAGTATTATGTATATATACTTGTTTGAGTACCTGTTTGCAGTTCTTTTGGGGTATGAACCTAGGAGTAGAATTGCATGGTTAAATGATAATTGTGTTGAACTTTTTGAGAAACTACCAAACTCCCACAGCAGCTGAACCATTTTATATTCATTTTCACCAGCAGTGTCCTTGGGTTCCAATTTTTCCACATCCTTATCAATACTTGCTATTTTTCATAATTTCCTGATGTTTTGGACGGTATTATAGGTGGTATAATTGTTTTTTTTTCTTTGTTTTCTGTGTTGCAGGAGTACAGAAATGTTTTTTTCACTATGTAAATCTTGTATCTAGTGACCTCAGATTCACTCGATAATTCTAATAGTTTGTATATTTATCAAGTTTTCTATGTACATCTGAATTTCTGATTTCTAAGTGCTATCTTATTATTTTTTTCTTTTTCATAGTAGTTGTTTATTGTATGCATGCGATATTCTTGGGAATAGCTTGAAGGATATTTATTAGAATTTAAATTCTCTTTAAATTTTTCATTACCTTAGTTTCCTTTGTGGTCAATTCTATCACTTTTCACTTTGGCCCCTCTTATTTGGTAAGTATTTCACAGATATCTAGTGATCTTTGGTTATCTGTTCATGTTTACAAAGGACTAAGATGGTTTGGTTTTGGTAGCTGATTCGACTTCTTCTCAGTGTTTTGAGGTCTGTTTTTCCAAAAGAACTTTTCTCCAAATGGGATTACTGATTGAGAGCTCTGCATGAGTTTAAGGGCCAGTAGCAGCCAGTTAGGCTGGGGACCTAAAACTTATTCTGGGGCTCCAGTGCTGTGAAGACTTTTCTTTTAGTTGTTTTTGTTTCCTTCCTCCTGATCCCCCACTTATGTCTGGAATACCCTCAGGCTCAGCCATACTTCTCTTTTATCTCTTTTATACCTAGCACACCCTCATGCTGAATTTTCTTCTGCCCAGATCTGGATACTGAGACTGGGGAACAAAAGATTATACAGGAAGTAAGACTGTCATGAGTGCATGAGCAGTCCTTTAATTACCTTGATTTCCCTTAATTCACCTTATTTTCCTGGGTTCGGTGTTTTCTATTTAGGAGGTTGGGACAGCTCCTGCCTCCTTATAGTCCTTGCTTATACTTGTTTTGATTGGGTTGTTATTTCTTCTGCTATGGCTTTTTTATTAATTTAGTCTCATCTGTTTCTTTTAGAACTTATTCCCTTGCCTCCCCCCCCCAACTTGATGATGGGCTATTTCTTATTTTTCAATTCTCATAAATTTATTCTTATAATATGAAAAATTTGGACATAAAACACATGTATCTACTCCACAACTTAAATAAAACAAATATAATTGAAGTTCCTTATTCTTTTCTCTGATTGTATTGCACTCCCTTTTATGCGTCTATTGATATTGTGTGTATTTCTAAACAAGAAAGAGCATTGTTTTGAATGTGTTTGAGCTTTGCATAGTGACATACTGCATGAATACTTCTGCATCTTGTTTTTTTCCACTTATCATGGTTCTTCATTCTCTTAGCATACTATCTTTTCTGTTATTGCAGTGGAATTTGGGTAAGGAGGAGAAATCAACCATGTATTTCTAGTATGGCTTTTTAAAAAGGAGATTGAAGCACCTTTTGGATATGTCACTATTAACGTGTAGGAGAAAGGATGTGGTGTTACCTCTTCTTGTTTCAACTGATGATGATAGGTGAATATGACACCTCGCTGTGTCTCACAAGCTAGGCAATTGAGTCTTGCTGCTGACCTCTATTTGGTGTTATAAATCCTTTTGGAGACAGAAAGACACCATTCATTCGTTTTAGGGTTTAACTGAGGTTTAAATGAGGGTTTGAGTTCTTATTGCTGGAAGGGCTTTTTATGCGCCATTTAGTACAAAGTGTACTAGAGAAACCTAGACCCAGAGTAGGTGAGTGACTTGTCTGAGGTGATCCAGGGGGAAAACACGGATTGGAAGCTGTTGTTACAGTTCCTTATTTTCCACTCTATTGCAGCAAACCAAAGGATAAAGTCTCCTTTTTGTTAACACTGAACTTTGATTTTTGCCTGTCCTTTAAAATGTTTATTTGAATTCCAAGAGATTTTTATACATAAGAATGAGTGTAAATCTTTGAATTAATGTTTACGTATTTTGTTTTCCTTAGGATCAGAATGGTTTCAATCCCAGAATACTATGAAGGCAAGAATGTTCTCCTTACTGGAGCTACCGGTTTCCTAGGGAAAGTACTTCTGGAAAAGTTGCTGAGGTCTTGTCCTAAGGTGAATTTAGTGTATGTTTTGGTGAGGCAGAAAGCTGGACAGACATCCCAAGAGCGAGTAGAAGAAGTCATTAGTGGCAAGGTAAGTGGAAAATAATCATTTGAAGGAGAGAAAAAAGTGTGGTGTTTGTGTGCATATATCTTCAGTATCCTGAAAAAATTAATAAAGGTACCCTACAGAATGGCAGTGAACTGGATATGACTTGTAATCAGTAGGAGAAAAAAACTTTTCTTTATGATGGCCAGAATTTTATAACAAGTTCTAAATTGCTTTTATGGTAGATATATACTGTGTTTTTAGAAAATTTGAGGCAAGTTGTTTGTGATTACTAGGTATTTCAAGTAGACTTCAGAAAATAATAATTAAGAGGTAGTTTCTAGTGACCTCCTATGCTGAGACTCCGTGCTTTCATGACACTTAAAAATTTGTTAGCACTGATTGCTCCCTAGAACAGTATTAGAGGGTAGCAGAGTCACCTATTCCCATTTGACAAACAAGAACATGATGACAGAAGGGTCAAATATGATACAAGAATATGTCATATATTTTGAAACTAGAAAATACAGGGGTAGGCAAAAGTAGGTTTACATTAGTGAGTATATGAAAGTTTATTCTTGTATTATTATTTATTAATTATATTATTTTACATACAAATAACTGCAAACCTACCTTTGCTTATCCCTGTATTGCTAAGAAGAAATGGAAATAAGCTGGAGTAAAGTTATTTTATAATCATAAGGTTTTAAATTCTCTCAAAATGAATTAATTTATCTGACACTGATTCATAGTAAGTTTAGTGTAATTAGCTATGTAATTTTGTAGCTACTGGGTAGATATGTGGTGCCTTTTAATATTCAGTGATTTATGTTTAAAAAACAAAAACAGTATTCAGAGACCTCTGAATCAATGAAAGATTACTGAAAAGTGTCAAAAGATTATAATTAATTATAGATTAACACTTCTCTATAGTTAATAAATAAATGTTAGACAAGATTTATTTTTCAGTATGTTTTGATCTTTTAGTAGAAATCTATAAAGTAGTTAATAGAGAATGTTGAATACTTGTGTCGGGAGCTGTGTGCAAAGCACCTCATGTATTTATCACAGTAACTCTAAGGTTGGTCTGATGTTATTCCCATTTATAAGGTCATACATATATTTGGGCCAATGTCTGGACTCTGGCAGATGATAGATCCCATTTTACAAATATGGACAGTGAGTCTTAGAGGTTATAATTTTATTTGAAGTTACGTAGCTTATAGATATTGGAGATAACACAGATGACTTGGTAACAAATCCCTATTACTTTTCTACTTTGTAACATTACTTCTCAAAAAAAAAAAAAGAAAATAAGGGAAACATGATAGAAGGCTTTGTGGTACAATGGGGGAAGTAGTCTTTAGAATTGCATAGCTTACTAGTTGCAAGAGTAGCTGGTACACTGAGTAATATTAGCCTAATTTCCCAAAGCTAATGGTAGTTGATGTCCAAGTTGACAAAATTAGAAGAGGAGATGACAAAGAGCAGAAAAGAGTGTGAAGGTAGGAGAATTAACAGAGGTAACACACAGCAGGAGGCAGAGTCAAGTTATGGGTTAGGGCATTAATGAGAAGTGTATCTCCTAAGAGTGATAAAGTATGATAATGGAAGAACAGTTATGAGAAAAAAGGAAGAAAAAAACCAGACCTATATAGAAGTTTTTGGGTGTTTAAATACAATTTTTAATGATCTTAATATCACAGCATTATAATAAAAATATATAAAAATATAATAAAATATTGTGGTGACTTGGAATGAATTAAAAGACTAAACTGTATTTAGAATGTTTACTGAGGTATTTATTGATTGGGAATGATTTCCATTCAAAAATAACTTTGGTTCACAAAGGTAAACTTCACTTATGTTCAGAGCATCTGTTTTTCTTGTTTATATTTTCCTTTTCTCATAAAGAGGTAATCTTAGACCCACATGGTTTTAACAGTGAAGTATAAAAATAAATTATTTGATACTATTAATATGGAATTAAATAAAAATATTTACCTTTGTCTTTACTCTTTATTAATTCAGTTTGTCCCCTCATGAAAACTTTATAAATAATTCTTCTGGAAAAATGAATTTTCTCTGGATTTTTTTTTAAACCATCTACTCTTTTGAGAGTTACTCAGTGATAGTATAACTCAAATAGCTACTAAAACATTTGTAACATTCTTCCCCATTGTCCCACACTCTCATGCACTTGTGTTCCTTCCTCCCGTCACAAAGATATGTGGAGTCCTGCTATGTACCAGGGGCTGTTCAGGTTACCAGAGCTATAGCAGTGAACAAAATTAAGTTCTAGCATTTGGGGAATTTACATCCTAGTTTGGGAGACAGATTAATGAATAAATAACATGTTGAACAATGATATGTACTCTGCAGAAAAGGAAAGTGGATAAAGGGGATAGAAAGTGATAGAGGTGCTACTTTAGATTTGATGATCAGAAAAGTTCTCTGAGATGACATTTGGGCAGAGACCTGAATGAAGTGAAGAAGAATCCTTGTGGGAATGTGAAGGAAGATTGTTCAAGGTAGAGGAGATGGTAGGGGCAAAGGCTCTGAGATGGGAAATGCTTGATAGGTGGAAAGAGCATCAGGACAAACACTGATTTTTATTTTACTGGGAGTGTATAAAGCATGTCAACTATTAAGTACTAAAGTATTCCCTACCAGCACTCCTCTCCAGGTGCACTTTCTGCCTCCTAAAATACAATAAAATTGCTAGTTTATTATCCTTTTAATTTTTTTGCTTATTTGACTTGAGAAAGAGGGCTTCAGACAAATATTTATACTTACACATGAGAAAAGTGTAGCTGATACTAACTTTAAACTCAAAGAATTATCACTCGAAGTTTCTAGGTACTTATTTTTAAAAGTAAGATGGGAGTTAATATTTCAATGTTTACCAACATAAACAAAATAACTGTGTTTGAATAATTTGCCATCTTAAAATGTGGTAAGTACAAAGTTCATTTTCAGTTTTTTCCCCAAGTGAGAAGATGGACCAATCTCTGTTCCCTATGATTTTAAAATGAAAACTATTTGGTAAAATAGTGTAAGGACATGTTTTAAAAACATGATATAATTTCTAGCTTATTTTCTAGGGACTTCCTTTCTTTCGCCCAGGGACTTTTAATTATACCTTTTAAGAACATTATTTGAATTGGTAAATTGAGGACAGCTTAATGCAGATTGATATCATTACCTTATGGTTACTTTTTTATATTGGCCAAATAGGTTAAAAGATTGTTTATTTATTGAAGGCAGTGTGATTCTCAAACCTTAGGTTTCTGGACCCCTAAAGCACTCTTAAAAATTATTGGGGGCTTCAAAGAGGTTTTGTTTTGTTAAGTTTTGCTTCAAATATCTTATTGATATTTATCCTAATAGAAATTAAAACAAAATTTTAAAGAATATACAAGCACATATTCCATCAGCCATCAGAGTGAGGTTGTCATGACACATGTAGCCTTTGGAAAATTCCTGTCTATACTTGCAAGAGAACAAAAGTGAAAAATGCAAATAATGTCTTAGTGTTAGTGTGAAAATAGTTTTGACCTTATGAACTACCTAAAATAGTCTTGGGGACTCCTAGGATGCTTAGACCACACTTGAGAACTGCCATTAAGAGTGTACAGTGGTGTTTAGACCATTTGGGGACAGCCTGCTGGTACATTTTTATGGATATACTTGATAGGGACAAATGTTCGTATTTTCAGGAGAGAGTTGACTTTTATGGACATCCAAAATTAATTTGAACCTAAACTTGGCAGTAAAGACTTAGAGAATGAAGTTGGGGTTAGAAACAAAACTTACTAGAATGCTTTAAGCTCAGATTTGCTACATGTAAGGAATCTTACTCTTGATGTAACTTGTGAAGCAGCATGATCATGTCTTGGTGGAGATACCTGGTAAGTAAGAAGGGGAATTTAAGGTCATTGGCAATCTGGAAGAATGAAAAGATGAAATAAAAAAGTGTATTCAAGGTGTTAAAAGTACTTTTCTGGTCATTCCTTGGGTTCTTTTTTCTCTGTTTGCCCCTTAAATATTGATATTCTTCAAAGTTTGGTTCTAGGCCTTGATTTCTTCAGAGTAGGTCCAGTTTGGTGATTACTGAGCACTGTTTTATGTCAGATGAGTGGTTGTGTCTTAAATTAGATTTGGAAAAAGCTTTATGTAGTCTGTACCTGTCACTGCTACTTCCACGGCTGCCTGTGTGTGGTTAGTAAAATCTGTATCAGTCTGGCTCTCTCTTCCCTGAACTCCAGACTGACAGAACCAGTTACCTGTACTAGACCTGTCTTCTGGGGTATAATATAGGCACTTTATATTCAACATTCACAAAACAGTTTTTGAAAAACCTTCAAAAACTTGAATCTTCATAACTGTACTTCTTTTACTTCCAGTGTTTTCCACTTAGTGAATTTATTTCCGTAACAAATATCTATGTTTTGCTATTTAGGGCCTGCATGCTAAGCAAATAGATGTTGTCCCAATCCTCATGGAGTTCGCATTCCTTATCCTCCATCTCCAGTCATTGGCCAAGCCTACTGAATTGTTTTTAGTTTCTCAAATATGTCAGTCCTCTCTCACTTCTAAGTGGTTGTACATGGTATTTCCTATGCCAGGAACACTAATTTTTTCTTCTTCATAATCTCAGGTCTTTACCAAGTTGGGTTAGTGCTATCTTCCTAGGCAGTCCCATAGCACAGTAATATTTACCCCTATTTTATTACTTAAAAAATTATATTTGATTATTTACTTATTTAGTTTTACCTTGTAAAGTCTGGATTTTAGAAATCTGAATGAGCTTTTTAAACACTGTCCTGATGTTTGTACTGCTTAAGTCTGTTCTGAGGGATAATATAATCAACAAAGGTGTAGACAGTTCAAATTTATCTCTACAAATTACCAGCTCTGTATCTTGAGCAAGTTACTTAACCTCTCTGATTGCTCAGATTCCTCATCTATGAAATGGGGACAGTAATGTGGGCCTCATAGGGTGTTTTCGATACAGAATGATAAGTTAAGAATGGGAACCTTAGGGGTTGTATAGTTGAAGTTTTAAAACTAATGATACTCTGTGGGGAGAAGGGAGATGATAATGGGTTTTAGAAGGTTCAAAAATGCTGCCCTAAACTGTTTTTTCCCCTTTGATAGCTTTTTGACAGATTGAGAGATGAAAATCCAGATTTTAGGGAGAAAATTGTAGCAATCAACAGTGAACTTACCCAGCCTAAACTGGCTCTTAGTGAAGAAGATAAAGAGATCATCATAGAGTCTACCAATATTATATTCCACTGTGCAGCTACAGTAAGGTTTAATGAAAATTTAAGGTAAGTAAAGATATTTCTCTGATATTTGAACTTCAGCATGGTTAAAAGATTTAATTTGAACTCTATTTTTCAGTCAAGTTGTTTTGATAGTGATTTAAAACTGTCACTTGTAGCTTTCAGTGTCCTACATGGTGAGAAAAGAATTTCCCTTGTTATCAGTTTAAAAATATTGGATAGCTAGTATATATTTATTAGAAATTATCACACGTAATTATGGGACGGGGAAGGCGAGAAATGGGAGTTACAGAGTAGAAGAAAGAAAAGTTCCCCTTGGGTAGGAGTGTTAGTCTTAATAGCTAATAGTGTTAGTTTCTTCTTCCCTCCATTCTTTCAGCACCTTTATTTTTCTACTCCACATATGTCCATCTGAAAATTTTTTAAAATTAGGCTCAGGTTTGTAGAAGATAAAACAACTTGTAAATTTTAAGTCATACCTTGTTTTTGTTTTAAAACTGTCAGCAGTGTTAGGGGCAAGGTAAATCGAACGTAATTTAAAAAATAATTTGAACTTCAAGGTATCTGTTTTAAGAAAAAAACATTCCAAATGCTTACTATTTTGAAAACATTTAACAAATATGCGTTTCAAATAATGGTGTTTAATTCAGAGCATTCTTTTTAATGGTATGTTAAAAAATGCAGTGTTATGTTAATCTAATTGTATGATCTTATGCCAGTTAAATTGGTGCAGACTTCTTTAGGTTTCACAATCACTTGAAGGCCTTTTTCTTTAAATGATTTTTAATTAAATTCTGATTAGTTAAATTGAGATTATCCCCTACATTGTCTTTAATATAGAAGTATAAACCTTAATTGACATTATACAGTGTGATAGTTTAAATGCCAAAGCTTACAATGTGTTTTGCCTATATTCCAGGTGAGGGTACTGCAAAATAGTTCCTTACTTTTCTGTAATAGTGCTTTATAGTTTTTCATGTATTTGGTATTTTCTCATTCATTATTTTATTCCATGCTAATGTTACCAACTGTAATAGTATAGGCAAATCTATATTATGCTTAAGGAAGCTGAGGCAGCATTGTGTAATCGAAAGGTAGTGAGCTTTGGAATCACATACCTTAATTCTGATCTTGATTTTATTATTTAGTAATCTTTGTTATTATTTTTTAGTTCTTTTTATGCAGCTATTATGTATTCATGATTGAAAAGTGACAAAAGAACCTTGTAAGAACTATTGTATAATCACATTTTCATAAAATGTATGTGTGTATATATATGTGTATTTATAGACATGTCTTTCTATATTTGCCAATTATCTTTGGGTAGTGTAATTCCAGGTAGGCTTTTAGGATGAAATAGTCAATCTAACAGGTATTTTTCCCCCCACAGTTCTAGCTTTTATGATTTTTAATTTTTTTCATAATCAAAAGAAAGAGTTCACACAGCCTTTAGAAACTGTTTTCAAGAAAAAAATATATAGCTACCAGATAATTGTGGCATGCATAGTCTTCATTGGAGTAGACAACATTAATTAGTGTGAAACTCATCAAAGTAACCTTTATGAGGAGGACCAAACTACAATACTTTCAAGGTCCCTTCTTTCTTTCTGTTCCCCTGAAGTAAACAAGGCTTACTTATTAATGAGAAGGAAACCTTTTCATGATTATTCTTTTTTCTTTTACTAGAGATACCATAGAGGATGGGGTAGACAAGTAAACAAGAAATTTATTATTTTTGTTTTCTTGTCAAGGCATGTATGTTTGCTGACCAAAGCCTCATCATTGAAATTGTTGTTTGCTAATGAAGCAATTTTAGTGGTGATACTACAGCATTAGATTTGGGCTAGACAGTCTAAAATACTGTCTGTAGATTGGCAGTAATAACTACTTATAAAACAGTTACTCTTTATAACCACTTTTTTAAGTTAAGCCACAAATTAAAAATGGCACACTATAACCATTATTTTGGGAAAAACCAAGATAAATTGCCCACAGATTTTATTTACAAATCTATACGGTCTAATAGAGGAAATAGAATATGTTTAAATAACCATAATATAGAATAGAAAATAAGGAATTACTGAAAAGTAACTTTTTTAGCAAGAGTCTTGGGCATGGTTTAAATTACAGGTGTGTGAGTCCCCTATCCTAAGATTAATTGGTCCCTAGGCATCTGTGTCTATATCTTTGTTAAGTTTTTAAAAATCAGCAATTATTGATGAAGTGTCATCTAGGTAGTATTTTCTGAGATAGGGAAGAGGGGAAGGAGAGATCAGAATGGCCTGGGGAACTTACTGAAAATGAAGTTTCACAGGCTTCACCTCAGACCTTAAAAAGTGTCTGAGGATAAGGTCCAACAATCTGCATTTTTAATAAACTCTCAGGTGAGTGTCATACAAAATGTGAGATCTCAGATTTAAAAGTCTTAGAAGTATTATCAACACAGATTTTGAACAACCCAGCATATCTGTAAAAGACAGATGAGCAAGAAAATTTACTGGCAGCTCAAGTTTTCCTTTCCTTCCTTTTCCTTCTCTCCTTCCTTCCCCCCTCTTTCTTTCTAAAAGTAGTTTCTATGTTAATGATGGACCATAATTACAAAAATGTGTTCATGTACCCCCAACCCCCACCCCAGAGCCACTATTATTGAGTATGTATTTACCAAGTAACCGAACATAATGAAAATATTATTTTCATTTAGTACTAAGTGCTTTCTGGTCTGACATGTCAGGGTCTTAGCCTGAATTTCAGTAGAGTAGAAATTGGATGGTGGTAAAATAGTGAGGTGACTAGCCTGGCAGTGATAGTAAGAGTTACTAATGTTGGCACAAAATGCCTTCAGGTTTGGGCTCTCAGGTACAGATTGGGGTGGGCGGGTGGGAGTGGAGGGTAGAAAGGCTCCGGATGTGTTTCTTCTCTCAAGTTATTCCTTATTTTCAGTGACCCAGAAACTCTGTCACCATCCGCAGGAACAGAATATCCTTTGTGTTCTGATCCTAAAACATTACTGTCCTTACCCCTATTGTTTTGCAAATGAAAGAGAAAATAACACTTTGCCTTGCAGTCTAGTGGATAGTATCCTCTCTGTCAAATCTCTTTTCGGCTGGATTTCCATTTGAACAGATTTCCCTCCTCAGTTGAGATAAGAAAGAAAAAAGAATACACTCATGATTGTAAGACCCTAACCCAGTTACTTCATTTTTTAAAAATTTCCTTCTGGTATGTTTTCATAGGCTCTTGGATACTATTAAATTAAGAGAAAAATAAGACACAGGAATTTTTCCTTTTGTGAATTATTTCTTTTTCCTGGTGACCCAGAACTTGCTGTACTATCCTTAGGAACCTGTAACAGAGTATTCTCTGTATACCTCTTCCAAAACATTGTTTTGCAAATGCAGTAGACTTCAAAGCACTGCTTTATAGTCAAGTGGACCAGATTCTGTCTGTGACATATCCTGGCCACTTAAAAGGATGGCTGGATGTTTTTGTTAAGCAAATGTAAGAATTTTAGAAAGTATTAAAAACTTTTTACTTTTAAAAAATTTTTGTTGTGATCCATCTTTGAACATATATGGTTTTACATAAAATATAAACATAGAATTTCAACTTGTAGAAATAATCCTCTATTTCAGTTTTTTCCATAGTTACAATTTTCATAATGTGATAATCCATCATGTTGATGTAGTAGAATTTATGTAATGTTCACCTTAGTACAGCAAATTTAGGTAATTTTAATTTCTGTTTGAAAAATTTGGGTTAGAACAAGTTTTTCTTCTGAGTTAATTTTAGTATGTTAACTAGATTAAAAACGATCATTTCTGTGACATCTAATACTTTGTCGTAGTCTCTTTTAGATCAGTTACTATCAGGTAAAGAGTCAATAACAATATAGTACCATGCCAGTTTTATCGAACCGTTATTGGTATTGCGTATTTCAACCTTTTCCCCCTTCAAATATCAAGCTGTAAACAAAAGTTTAATAGAAAGCAACAAGTATTCACCATCTCATTACCTTTTATAAAATGTATTGAATGCCTGTTTGGGGACTCTGTTAGCAATAATGCTAAATACATGCAAATTATTGATTTCATTTTATTTTCTACAAATCCTGTTAGATAGATTCCATTATTGTTCCCATTTAAGGATGGGGAAATTGAGGCCTTGGTGCTTGAGTGAATTCACCAGTTCACCTGATCCTAGCTGATAGGTAGGCCAAGCTAGGACTTGAACCCAGGTCTTATTCCAGAGTCTTGTTCTTAATCTTGCTTCACTTAGTAATATATGTATTTTTAAAATATTCATGTAGGTGTTCCATGTTTTATGGTTGTCATAAGTACTATAATGGCTGTATTCTTTCATTGTGATAAAACACCAACTGTATTAAATCATTTTATTCATAGTGAGTATGGGCTCTCTAGGCTATTGCTATTACAAGATGATACATCATTGATATTTTCTCTGTATGCTTACTTTTGTATTTGTGGAAGTATTTCTAATAAATTTCAAGAAAGGAATATATAGATCACTTTGGGTTCTTGCATGTAACTTTTAACATGTGATCTGTTTTATTATAACATCTCTTTTTAACTAGTGTTAAAAAGATGTTTGGATTAATTGCTACAAAGAAGGAAATAAACATGCTCTTATTTGGTTATATGTTACAATTTAATGTTTCTGAGTTTTCTTTGTTTTACTTATTGGTGACTCTGCATTAGCATTTTAAAATTACTTAAACATTCTAATACCTTCATATCATGAAATCAAGATGCAAAAGAAGTTTAACATGACTTCAAAATGGATACAAAAAAGCCAAAGATGCAGAAATGATCTATGTTTATTTGTGGGTAATTTAAAAAACTTAATTTGTACTTTCATTTAATTCTAATGAGATTTATTTTATAATCAGAAAATACTTCTTTTTAAACATTTCTGATAGAATGGTGTATATCAGGTTCAAATAAAATACACAAAATTTGAGCTAAGGGATTAGTTGTAAAGAAACAATGTCCGTCTCTTATCTCTATCTCTAATGGAAGTAAGATTTGGTTTTAAGCAAGTGAAATAAATGACATAGCTTTCCAATTTTTTTGTTGTCACTTTTTTTTTACAGAGATGCTGTTCAGTTAAATGTGATTGCTACACAACAGCTTATTCTCCTTGCACAACAAATGAAGAATCTGGAAGTGTTCATGCATGTGTCAACAGCATATGCCTACTGCAATCGAAAGCATATTGATGAAGTAGTCTACCCACCTCCTGTGGATCCCAAGAAGCTGATTGATTCTTTAGAGTATGTTTGTTTGATGAAATTTATATACATTTGCTTTGATCCTGAAACTTTGGATCCAAGTGTATATAGATATGTATCTGTTGGTCAATTTCAGTTTCTCCTTCACTTTTTTCCACCCATATACACACATGTATATATCTATATCTATATCTATATATATGCATATATATACACACATTTATCTCATTCAACAAAATTATTACTTACCTACTAAGTTTTTTTATTGTATAGATTTATACCTAAACAACTGTTGGTGTTATTTAGTGTGGAGCTTTCACTTTTGACCAGGTGTGGTGGTTGGAAGAAGGCCTTTGAACAAATTTATTCATGATATTAGGGACTCTGTTTCCCAGGCAATCAATCCTAGTGACTAAGTACTTCATACCCATGGAGACTAATGACTACCTATTGATTAGAAAGGTTGTAATTTATTAAGAGATTATCCTTTTTATTTTGCCCACTGGAATATATCTGTAGAGGTACCTTTAATTATGAGAGAATCAGAGGAATCATGATCCTTTGATTGATATTTTGAGTGTTACTTGTTTGTCATCTTTCCAAGGACTTGGATCCTATTAACAATTAATTGCATGAGACATATTTGGATATGGAGTGGGTGAAGTATGCTTATATCATGGCCAGGATTTCATTTGCTTCATTCAGCCTGTGCTTTCTTGTCAAGTGAAACAACAAAGAATCAGCAAAAATAATCTTTCTGTTTTCATAGACTGCAATTATAAAAACCTTTCAGTATCCATCATATCTTCATATTTGTTAATCCTCATATAATATACCTGTAGTCTTTTTACCCCTTTATCCTTATCTATTTCCCCTCAGGTCTTCTTTCTTCCCAAAGATTCTATCCACTTTAATCTCCTTAGTTATCATTCTTTGCTTTCTCAGTCCAATTCTTTTCTTCCTAAGGGTGCTACAGAGTATACTTAGCTCTTTCTTCAAGTTTTCTCCTAAAATAAGCACACGGGCCCTTTTCTTTATGATTTTCTTGTGACTCACGAGGAAGCAGATTATAATAATAAAATTAATAAGTATACAGGTTTACTAAGATAATTCTTAGGATAATTTCCTAGTTTCTGTTTTCTGACTCCATTTCTTAGATGGTCCTGAATACCTCATTTTTTCCACAGGTTAGTAGGCAGAACTTTTTAATATCTTTAGAAAAAGTTGAGTAGAAGTTAATAAAGCTTTTAATTTTTCTCTTATTGATGGCTAGGATATCCAAATATTTAAGTTACTGAGAGAGAGCAAGCATGTAACCTTATAATTTTATTTCTTCTTTCCTTGCTTTCAAAGAAATCTAACTAACAGATAATTTTAGGATAACTCATGGATTGGCTCTATAAACACACTTTAGTGATGAGGCTTACTGGCTAAAAAGTCTTTCCTCCAATTAGGTAGTTTGTTGTTTTTTCTTTTAATATAGCAATATCTCTTCCATTTCTCAAAGTTGTCTCCATAATGGAGTTTTTCCTAAGTTGATTAGCAGCTGCTCTTCAGTTTTATAAGTATTCTTTTCCTTTCACACATAAAAGTACTTCCACAAACAGAAAAATATTTATCTTGATAATCTCTTTTACGCTTGTCATCAGTTAGTATGGCTGTCATTAGAGTGACAATACACTGAGTATATAATTATGTATACATAGCCTTATAGACAGTAAGGGAGAAGTATCTGAAAACAAGTGCATAATATATTGGAATCAGATATTCAGATTGGGAAAGACCATAGATGTCACCTAGTATACACCCTTCCTTTTACAGATTCTCAGTGTAGACCTTTTCTTAAGAGACACTAAGAAAATTGGAGCAATTTTATTTATGTAGGTTTCAAATTGAACTTTTTTATTGCTTAAATGCCTTTATTATTTTTTTAAAAAATTACTTGGATATTGATAGCTCTGCAAAATACTTCTATCCCAAATCCTCAAACCCATTCCATATGTCCTCCCTAAAGAAACAAAATATTCATACTTTGTGCCCATTCACATCTAATTTTTAAAAACATGTAACACTCAAAATGAAATTTTTTTCTTTCATTAACAATTTTAAACTATAGTGCAATATACTTACGGCATTTCTTTTAAAAAATTAGCTTATCAAACTTTTATGGGGGAAAAAATCAATTCAAGGCCTTAGAATAGAAATTCCCTGTTTCTGAAAGCAAATGGTACTGAAAAGTCCCTTTTCTCCTCTTTCTGTAATTACCACATTACCAACAGGACCAGCTCACAGGTGGACTTTCTAGTTCACACTAGGTATTTATTGCTCAGGAACTTTTGGACTGCCGCTGTGAGGTGTGAAAGGAGGGGTGACTGGGATGGGATAATTCCAGCACAAAAGAGTGACAGGGCTGGGACCACAGAATGGAAGTTTTTTGAGCGGTGGAATAAAAATAGCCAAATCCCTTACACCCCACTTGGCAGGTTTGTTTGGGGTAGAAGGAGGTGACTACAAGTGTCAACTAGAATACTGCACATAATACCACAGGCATGTAAACTACTGAGAACATTCCAGAGGAATAACTGCAGATGGAAATGATTCTCTAATTGAATTTTTATAGCATGGTGCAATTTATTTTCATCGTTTACCTAGTTTTTGGTAGTCTCGCCAGTCAGAGCATACAGTTTCCAGTGCTTCACCTTAAATACTGAGGTCACTAGACCTTTTCTATTAATTGTAAGTTCATTGCAAAAGTATATAATTAATATGTGATAGTGTTCCATGGATATATATAGAACTACAATTTCTAATCTGAAACTCATGGGGCCAGATGTATTTTTGGAATTTTTGGGACTTTAGGAAAGAATAGAATATAGATTCTATGTACTGTATAATATAAAATAAATGTAATTAGAACTGGGGTAGCAACCCTGATCAAGTACATATGACGTATATGAATATTTACACAAGGTGGTATTAAAATTTTTCATAAATCAGTTCAGATCAGCTTTGCTCCCTACCATATGATTTATGAAAGAACACTAGGTTTTCATACCTTTTTGGTTATAGAGACTGGTATAAGAGATGTGGACTTAAAGTTGATGTGTAATGAAAGGAAGACTAACTTCCATATTTTTAGTAAAAGTTAAATCAGAGTCAGCAACACATATGTTTGTGCAAAGTAAGTGGGTTTTTTTAATAGTAAAATATCTGAAAATTTTTTGCATGTAATTTCTTTGTTTACCAGGTGGATGGATGATGGCCTAGTAAATGATATCACGCCCAAATTAATAGGTGACAGACCTAATACATACATATACACAAAAGCATTGGCAGAATATGTTGTACAACAAGAAGGAGCAAAGCTAAATGTGGCAATTGTAAGGCCATCAATTGTTGGTGCCAGTTGGAAAGAACCTTTTCCAGTAAGTTGTTGGAAATCTTTCAAATAATTGAAATTGAAAATTTTTAGTCATAACTCCATATTTAAGGAGTTGGTAGTTAAGAGTAAATGTTTTTCACTAAGTATGGTAGAAGATGACAAAGCTGTTTCCATTCATAGACTGAGACACTTTCATTGGTACTTTTATTTCTAATTTAATGCTGTGTGTTTAGGAATGGAGAGCATTATGCTCAGTGAAATAAGCCAGACGATGAAAGACAAATACCATATACTCTCACCATTAACATTTTAAAATCTTATTTGAAAGCTGAAGACTGTGATGTAGTCTTGATCAACATCATAGTTGTGATGTGAATGATATTATTTATTGTGATTGCCAAGCTTGGTCTTTTGACACTCCACCATTTGTTGACTTTTAAGATTATTTGCTGATTATCTTCCCTTGCAGAAGTGAAGGGAATAGAGATGAGAATATTCAGGATCTTATTTCATTTGCTTTTTACAGCCAAAAAGAGGCAAGTCTTCCAAGTTGTAGACTTTCCTGTGTAGGTCACAAGCTAAGAAAGATATGAGATTTCTATGAGAATTTGCTCTAGAAAAAGAAGGCATTTCAGTTTCCTGGAATAAGAGGAAACATAAATATATAAACTAATAGATAAATTGATTTAGGAAAAATCTAGGTTTCTGTAATGGTAGTAAGTAATAGCGTGCCTTGTGTACCTTTGACAATTCTATTTTCCTCTGTTTTATTCAGTAATTTTGATGGTAATTTACCATTTCCCGTAGGATACTGCATCAGTAAATCACATAAAAGCAAACTTGAACAGGCTTCATTTAGCAAAAATTTTTGACAGCTATAAATTCCTTTTTATAAAATCTCCTTGTAGAGAGTTAATGGAAGTTTGAAGTAGGTAACCCCTGAAAATGATTTTACCTAGCCACTTGCAATCCCAGAGAAGGAGTGCTTCTATTTGGGATGAAGAGAAATAGTCTGGCCAGAATCTAATCTAATTCTTAGTTTTTAAAAGAAAATTACCAAGTATATATGTGAAATTGTAGATGTCACATAATAAATCTCTAGTTTCATAATATTTATAAACTGCTTACCTTTTTTATTTTTGGTATTAGGGATGGATTGATAACTTTAATGGACCGAGTGGTCTTTTTATTGCGGTAAGTAAACCTTTTGATTTATTTAATATTCTATATATTTTTTCTGTTTTCTATATATCTTTATATTATATATGTACTCTGGCTTGTATATCTTAAGGTATTGTTTTTAATTTTAACAAAGGCAGGGAAAGGAATTCTTCGAACAATGCGTGCCTCCAACAGTGCCCTTGCAGATCTTGTTCCTGTAGATGTAGTTGTCAACACAAGTCTTGCGGCAGCCTGGTACTCCGGAGTTAATAGGTATATGAGGTGACAGTGTCGCTTGGTAAATACACGGTAACTGAGAAGGGAAAACAGAGCTATTGACTAATGTTAATCCCTCAGTCCTAATACTCCCATGCTAATATGTATAGGCATTATTACTTCCAACTGTAAGAGTTGGCTTATTACAGGCAATAATATCAGGTGGTTCCATCATCAGCAGTAATTAAGAGTTAATATTAATTCTCATGTACTACCTACAGGATAGACAAGTTCATTAGGCAGTGAAAATGAACCCCTACTCCCGATGATTTTTTTAATCCAGACTAAAGCTTGATATGAACTTGGCATAAAGGGCTAAAAATCCACAGAGAATGACTTACATACAGCAAATGTCACAGTAGAGCAGCATTAATCAAGTCAAGGGCTTCCTTTTAAAGGGGAATAATAGCATTTACAGGTAACAACCTAAACTTTAAGAGTCTCGGTGACTTTTGTTTTCTACTAACCCAGATTTCTTGGACTATAAGACACCCCCCCGCAATCGGGGAGGAATAATGGTTGTTAATGCTGCTGTTGAGTTCTGTTTACATTTACATTGGTGAAATATTATATTATTTATGTTATTAAATATTTTACCACATTTTTTGCTTCAAAATTTTTTTCCTATTTTCCTCCTAAAACTGAGTTATGCGTCTTATGGTCTGAAAAATATGGTAATAGACTGCCTTTATTTTTGAAGTCAATATTTTTTATATTTTAAAAAAGGAAGAATATGATTATATGACTACGGTTTCTGGTAAAAGGGAATGTGGTTCATATTTTCAGCTAGAGCCTGTGAACCTGGAAAGGAGACAGGAAGAGCTGAGACTATTTGTTGTTTTTCTTACATTTAAAGACTGACACTTCTACTGATACAAAGAAGAAAAATATAAAAAGAAAAGTCTGTATGTTTTAAATAAGTAATACTGTTACTAGGAGAGGGGAAAAGGGTGTAAATAATTATCTAGATGGCAAAAATCAGTTTTTTAAGGAAAATTTAAAAAATAATGTAACAAAGGTACCCATTCTCATTTTTCCTACTTGAATATCATGTAAGATTTAGATTGGACAAGTTTGGCCTCTTTTTATGTTTCATTGCTTTGATTTTTTTTTTTTTTCCAGACCAAGGAACATCATGGTGTATAATTGTACAACAGGCAGCACTAATCCTTTCCACTGGGGTGAAGTTGGTATGATTTTACTTGTGTTTTTGAATGTTAGAATAAATCTTAAAGAACTTAAAATATTCTCTGAGTTTTTATGTCAGAAGAATCCATGAGACATTAAGGCCACCGAGTTCCCAATTTATTCTTATTTTAATTGCTATCTCAAGAATATCTACTAGGCTCTGGCTGGGTAGTTTAGTTGGTTGGAGCATTGTCCCAATAGGAATATCTACCACTACTGCCTTACACTTAGTACTGTTTTTACAAATTTAAAAATACCCCGCTGTACTTGTTTGACCCTTACTGTTTTTCTGCTGCCATTTGTGGCAGCAGTCATAATACCTGTGGCATGGAAACAGTGCTATTTTTCTGTCATGGGCACTTTCAGTGCTATGGGTGCCTCTCCTTAGGCAATAGCACTTCCAACTACAAGAGCTGGTATATCACAGGAAATGGTTAGTGGTCCAAAGAGTAATAAATGAAGCAGTTAGCGTATAGGATGTATTTTGCTAGAATTTTTTCTATTAATCAATTTAAATTTAAAATTCTCATCAGGTAGTGTGTAGGCTGTGTTACTTGCTCTAAAATGGGAATAGTATAGCCCTACTGAAATTTTTTTAAGTTGTTGGTTTATGTTTTCAAATTTAAAGTAAAATATATTTATAACATTGATTTAGCAATAGTCTTATTTTACCTCTACTTGAACAATTTTTCTTAATGTTGTAGAGCAACTTTGATGTTAAAGTAAACCTTTTATGTCCTTTATTCTAAGATTTTTTCTGGGACATTTTTATTTCAATTTAAGGATTGACCTTTGGAGCATATAAGGGGAAAAAATCTGGGAAGATTTTACTTTTATGATAATTACAATATTTAAAATCTTAAGACACTTTAAACGAGAGGGGTTTTTGTAATCTTTCATTGTGATATAAAGTTCAGCAAAAATTAAGTTGAACATTATTTTTAGTGAATATCTCAATATACATTTCCATTAAATTATTAATAGGTGATTATAGATTTGATTGTGTTGACATTGCGTAACCTAAATAAATTACAGCGTAAGTTAATTTGGGTTGTTTTAAGTTGCTGATGTTTGTTAATTGAGCTTCCATAATTTGAGCTTCATAATTAAGTTATGTATGACTTAATTATTCATAAGCAAAGGATGATGATTTTCCTTTTCTTTTTTAAGTAAGTACAATAATAAGAATCTGGAAAGAGGAACAGAAAGAAAGAAGCTATCATGAGAAGTGAAATAGAAAGTGACATTGTAAACTGACATAGGTAAAATATTAAAAGGATTTTTAAGAGTGAATTTTAGCAAAAATTCATCTAAATAAAATTCCTAAATAGTGGCAGTTCTAAAACCACTTGAGTTCAGCAGTCTAATACCCATATTCTCTTAGCTACTATAGAGAGTAGAAAAGTTTTTTTTTAAATGAGCAAACTCTGACATCTTTGGTAAAATATTTTGCTTTGTAAAATCATGATTTTTTTCAAAACTTTATTACATGGTTATTATCAAAGCTGTTGCACAACTTTTCTTCCTCAGAATACCATGTAATTTCCACTTTCAAGAGGAATCCTCTCGAACAGGCCTTCAGACGGCCCAATGTAAATCTAACCTCCAATCACCTTTTATATCATTACTGGATTGCTGTAAGCCATAAGGCCCCAGCATTCCTGTATGATACCTACCTCAGGATGACTGGAAGAAGCCCAAGGTAATGGTGACTAGCTCTGTCTTATCTGTTCCTCTGACTGTTAAACAACCCGTGCTTACACTAAAATGCATATTAACTTTCTATTTGTTTATGCATATGACAAGGCTTAATGGCCTTTTATGAATGAGAAGACTCTTGAGTTTAAGACTTTGCCAGAAAAGCAAAGGTAGTGTTGTGATTCACTCTTAATATATTCTAAATTTTGGATGATAATTACTGTCATGTGCTGAATTCTAGGTTTAACTTTAGGTATTTTTTGCTGAATAACAAATAACATTCAAAATGCTTTGATGCTTATTTTTCCTACAGGATGTTATCTAGCTCATTCCTTCAAGATGAATCCTTTAAACCAAGTATACAGGCGCCCCAAAATTAACTTTTATTCCAACAACTTATTGCTTCATTATTGGAAGGGTGTCAAACATACAGTACCTGCATTATTGCTCGATCTTGCACTCAGGTTGACAGGTCAGAAACCGTGGTAAGAAGAATAGAAATAAATACACTATGTATTGGTAAGGTGGTGGAAGCTTGCTGGAGAGACAAAAAGTCGCTAGCATGAGCTTTACCTTTAGAATTACTAACCTGATTAATCACACAATCAGGATGCTAGGACATTTCTTAGAAATTGGGGATATTCGAGGAGACTAACTGTGGATCTCAGCTTATTGATCCTCCAAAATCCCAGTTAGAAATGTCCAACATCAAGGTTGTCATTGTTATTATAAGCTGAAATTGAGCCCTTATCCTCTTCCCCTTAAAAATATAGGGGTAGTTTTTTAGGGGATTATGGGTAAAATGTTTTGCTTTAAGTAGACTCTGCAGTTTTATATGAAAAACATAGGATTCTTCTAGAAAATTGATTGCTCGAATTATCTCAGTTGCCCATTCAGCTTATAATATGATATAGTTTTTGACTAATTTCCAAGTTGAAAATACTGTATTTTTTAAAAAAGTTAACAGATGAAAAACTTTCTATTTTCTTATAGTTGTTATAGGCTTTCTTTTTGCTTTCTTTTATTTTTTATCAAAACACCACAAACTTACATAAAGGCCTCCTGTTTTTACCACAATTACAATGAAATGTCTCATAAAATAGTTTTGGACTACATTGGCATTACAGTAGGCTCTTTAATTGGGGAGTTCAGAAATTGAATATTTATGTATCAAGAAGATGCTGATTCCAGAACTTTCATCAACTGCTTAAAAAATAAAAGTCAGATATCTACCATTTATAACATATCAGGACCTGAGTTACTTGGAGGGATTTTCTGTTGATTCAGTTGTGCATTGTTTCTTAACTCTATATGTGTAGTATTGAATGTGAGGGGTGTTGAAGAACTTTAGTAAAGAAATGCTTAATGGAAAAAAGATTGCCAATATATGCAGGTTATTTTCAGGTTTTCTAGAATGATCTGAAAAGTACAATGTTTGTCCCTAGCAGCATTCTGTGTGGCTAAAACACAGCTGTAATTTATGAGTGATGACAATGCATGTTTCTTTGATATTAATAAAATTGTTGTAACTTAGAACAGAAAAGTCAAAACTAGATCAAATAGGAAAACAGGTTAAATATATCACAACGCCTTACAGAAAAAAGAATGGAAGGATAAGTAGTAAACTTAAAAAATGAGAGAGTAACTAAACTTTATTAAATAATTTATATTAGATGTTACCTCATAACAAATCATTTCAAATTGAGTAGCTTAAAACAGCAGCAGTGATTTGATTACTTCTTTCAATGTGTTTCCTCTTGTGTTGGTAACCAAGTAGCCTTCTTATCCTAATTCTTGCCCAGAAAAGGCTGGAGTCCCCAGGGCACAGGGATCAGCTTCTTTAAAGGCCTGTATGGTTTTGTTGCATCTACTTAACTCTGTTCCTAATTGTAGATTTCACCTTGCAATCACTCACCTTGACATCCATGGACAATATGTGATTGAATAAGCATGACTGTGTTCCAAAAAAACTTGGTGGATTTGGCCCTAAGGCTCTGGTTTGTTAATCCTTGATCCAGAGGCCTCTTTTCAGAGGCCTCTTTTCAGTTTGTACTGTCCTTTTCCCTTTAAGTGTAAGCTGAAATGATTCTTTTTAGGAGGCCAATGCCTTATTCATCAGGCCACTGGGGCTTCTTGATGATTCCTTTTAAAACTCTGGGTTTCCCAGGTATTCATTTTAAAACAGTTTCCATTAGACCAAAACCATACCCATAACTCTCTTTGAGACATGTCCTTCTCTGTCTTGGGTTCTTTATGAGATTACTTATGAGTAACACCTTTAGATCTTAGGTACTTGTCTCTTAGATCCTTAAACTAGTCTCTTAGATCCTGCTTCTTAAATAGTAGGGTTTCTTTTTTTTTAATCTTTTTTAAAAAGAATTTATTTATTTTTAGAGAGAGGGGAAGGGAGGGATAGAGAGAAACATCAATGTGTGGTTGCCTCTCAGGTGCCTCCCACTGGGGACCTGGCCCACAACCCAGGCATGTGGCCTGACTGGGAATTGAACTGGTGACCTTTTGGTTCGCAGGTCGGTGCTCATCCACTGAGCTATACCAGCCAGGGCAATAGTGTGGTTTCTGTGAGACACTTCTTTAGGATCTGGAGTAAGCCTTTTGTTTGAAAGGTTCTATGAAGTTCTTTTTGAAAGAATTCAGAGTCTGGAGACTTTGGCTAGAAATAAATGATAAAGACTTTTTCAAGGGTTTTAGGGTTTGCAAACTGGAAACAACTAGGCAATACCGAAAATATTCCAAAGAAGAAAGAAAAGTTAAGAGATTTTATAGTAAAAAGTACTTCTTCAGAAGAATCGGTCCTGCAGTCCTGGGATAGGGCCAGGACAGTTATTTGTCAGATGTTGGTTGGTCCGGAATCTGGAGGATGGGTATCAGGAGGTCTGGTTATATCCAGTCATATGGATAATGGATGTCAGGTGCTCTGGATATATGTGAGTCCTTTACGGGGTTATCAGAGGGTTGTCTGGAGGTCTGGTATATATCCATGTATTTGCAAACAATAAATTGATGTATATTCAGGCATTGACACAGGACTGAAAAGTTCAAAGTTTAAGTTCTCAGACTAGTTAAAACAGGAATAGTGTTCTTTCCTCATGCCTCTGCATAGTTGATATTAGTGATTTAGTTGCTTGACTATAGTGATTCCATTTTATTTCTTCTGTTTTCTTCAGATACTACCTTAGATCTTTTTGAGGTCTTAAGCCAAAAGTCTTACATCTCCATTCTTACAAATCTCCATCTCCAGTCTTACAAATCCATTCTGGATTTGACCTATGCACAGAAGACACTTTTTAAAAGAATTCCCAGCTGATGTTTTACATTGTCTCTAAATTCGACTTAGACAAATAGTTCAACTTTTAAAGATCTTCTTCAAATTCATCCTCTTTGAGGAAATCTTTTTGGCTAGATCATCAAGTTAGTGCAGTTTCTATTTTTCATGTTACCACAGGTGACAGTTTTTGTTCTTCCAACTCCGTACATTTTTTTGTCAATTTTCTTTAAGGCCTTACCAACAGGTTCATTAAAGCCCTTTAAGACTTCTACTAAAATTCTTTTCTTGGTTTACTAGGTTTTGCCAGTGGTCTCCTCAACAACCTTTTAGATTCTGTCTACCACCTGATCCTAAAGCCAATACTACATGTTTTAGATTTTTATTATAGCATCCCCACACTCCCAGTACTAAGATCTGTTCCTTTTATCTGTGCTGCGTGGCAAATCACTCAAACTTAGTATCTTAAAACAGCAATCATTTTCTTTATCTCTTATGATTTCTGTGGGACAGGAATTCTAGAAAGATTTGGCTGTGCGGTTCTGTCCCAGAGTCTTTCAAGTGTTTGTAGTCAGATAGGAACTGGAGAAAGTACACTGGAGGGAAGGGAAAAGGAGAAGAAGGGAGTAGCTGGGGTGGCCTTTCTCTTCATGTAGTGTCAGAGCCTCTTCATGTGCTCTCTCCACGTGGATTAGCTTGGGCTTCCTCACAATGTTACAGCTTCTAGGGGAGTTGGACAACATACATGGCTACTGAAGGATTCAAGGGTGAGTCTTACAGTAAGCAAGGCAGAAAGCTCTTTCACTTTTTTTTACCTACCCTTGAAAATCAGTGTCATTTCTACCTCATTCTATTGGGTGTAAGTTACATTTCACTTCTTGTTGGGAAGATAGTCAAGGTGATATTATAGGTGAATATGTAGAATGGGATCATAATACTGCAGCCACCTTTGAAATTAAAATATACTCCAAATAGGAAGCATTAAATAAAGAATCTTATCTGAGGTTTGCCCTGAGTGAGGTTTTCAAATCAGGAATTATCTTTGACCTCTGGGAGTTTATAGTCCAAAAGCAAAAAGAAACATAAATGTTTTTTGTTTAGTCAATTTTATAAATGTTAAATACAAAGTTGTATAATTTATATTATTCAGATATTTACTGAGCAAGGTACTGGGCTTTATACCTTATATTGGGGCTGTAGTATAATGCCTACTTCTACATTAAGCTAATGTCAGTCATTCATGGTGTCCATTTTACTCATTTACTTTGTTCTGAGTGTCAGCTAGATAAAAATCTGGCTTGCTTTATATCTTAATATAATTCTAAATTTGTAAGTACAACCCATATGCATCATACAGATTCCTGGGTAATACTCTTTAGGGACTGGGATGCATGATATTACATGTAGAAACAGTATAAATTATTTACTCCAGCTCTTAAAATATAGTAGATATTTCATCACTGTCAAAAATGACATATAAGAAATCATTCCATAGTCTTGTTTTTCTAGTTATTTAGCTTAACTCTTTCTAGTTTAAATTCTATGGCCCTAATATTTTTTAAATTTGTGTGGTTCTCAACAGGGGACAATTTTGGCCCCCTCAGGGGACATTTGACAATATTTGGAGATATTTTTAGTTATCACAACAGCTTGGGGAAATGCTACTGGCATTGAGTTGGTAGAGACCAGCGATGCTGTGAAGTATCTTAGAATGCACAGGACAGCCCTCACCATGAAGAATTAATCTGGCACAAAATGTCTCTGGTGATGAGGTTGAGAAACCGTGGACTGGATGACCACTGAGATCTTGCCCTACTTTAGAGGATTGTGATTGATTATTTTTGTGGGTTGCCATAATAAAGAATAAATAAATACTTAAATATACACATATATGGCAATATCATCCCAGGCATTTGCTCTTACGTCATATTTAACTAAAGAATAATGGTGCAAAGTTTTGTTTCTTTTTATCTTCTTAGGTTTGATAGTCTGTGAACTTGACACATATGTGGCCTTTTAAATTTCCTTTTCCTATTCTAATTTTTTACTGTAATTGTTATTGAATGGCTGAAACAGTGATTGGTTTTAGGGTAGTTATGTCACATGACTGAATCTGAAGACTAGGTGAGAATTGTCAGTGAAAAAGGAGTTAAAAAGAAAAGCTTAAGTAAGATGTATGTTGGAAAGCCATGTTAGCCAAATATGTGTATATGTGTGATTAATTTCTCCTACACTGGCTGTGACATTTGATAATTGATTTAATAACAAATTTCTTGTATCTTTCTGTCATTGTTTTAGAAAAAATTATTTAATCTCTTTTCTAAAAGTAGCATGTCTTATATTTTTCCACCAAGGCTTTCTGTCCATATGAACTATTTTGTTCAAATAAAGCCTTTTGAGGCCCAATAATTCTTTTCATGTTTAATGGAGGTTTTGTTTTGTACTTGCTTTCTTGTATAAAGTTAGGGTTGTTTTTTTTTTACATACTCTGTGTTACCTCATTTTTCTCAATTTTCTGGATTAAGGGTATCTTTGTAGATGTACTGAATGTGTCAAAAGATTTGCTTATCTAACTATGTTACTATTTTGATTCTCCCCTTGCCCCCCATTTCTAATGTCTGGTTTTTCTCCATTTCTAAAGTTCTTGATTTTGGGACTCTCTAAATTATATATAATGCTAATCCATATTGGGGGACTATAAATTGAGGGTTTCTTGGGGAGTATTTCTTCACAAATTATTTTTCTGTTTATCAGAGGTTAGGAATTTCTACTGTGTGCTTTGTTATAAAAAATTCTTCCTCTTTAGCTACTTATCATAGGTAATCATTACATGGATGTTACTGCTCAGGTTAGTGTTATGATATCAATGACTTACAGTGAGCAGCGATATATAAAATGACAAATTGAAAGATTAAGGTCCTTCATCCTTTCAGAAAGGAACAAGATAGTATCAGGTGCCCTTATTTCTATAAGGATGAATATTGGGGATTTGGGAAAATGAGTAAATGTCTATTTCAGAAAGTTTTCAGGATGAGTCATTGATTTCAGGACACAACCAGAGTCCAAGATTCGTATTTGTCAATGTTAAAGAGAAAGTTACTTAATATGTATATAGATAGAAAGAATGAATATTTCTGTATAATGTAATACAATGTTATAAATTCACAGGAAATTTTAGTATAATGTGCTTTAAGAAAATTGATCTTAAAACATTGTATTTCCTTTCAAAATTAGTTTCATATATCAAAAGACCTTTATTTTGGTGGTATTAAATTCATTTACCATCGCTTCAAAATTTTTTCAGATTTTGTGCTTATGTAATATTCTCCCAAATACAGAAATATTCTCATTACCTGTCAGTTTGGTGCATTTGTTGAATTATGTATTATGATTTTACTGTTAATGTTCCAGTTTAGAAACTGGTGCCACAGGTGGTGATGAGACTTTTTTCTAATATTTGCAAAATACGAATCTCATTTTCTTACAATACAGGATGATGAAAACAATAACTCGTCTTCACAAAGCTATGGTGTTTCTTGAATATTTCACAAGTAATTCTTGGGTTTGGAATACTGACAATGTCATTATGTTAATGAATCAACTAAATCCTGAAGATAAAAAGGCAAGTATTTTCTGGTTTATATTAGTAAATAAATAGCTTACTAATTAGACAATCATCCACAAGCTGAGAAGTAATTGCATATTTTCCACAACCATTATGCAATAAGAAAGTCATTGATCTTTTTATAGTCTCTCATTAAGAGCTTCAATCATAATTGTTGGTGATGAAATAAAATTGCTTTACCTTAGAATTTATAAGGTGCAAGTATTTGGCTCTGGCAGAGCTATTTTTAAAGTATGATTGAAATGTTCAGTTTTTCTTATTTATTTTAATGTCAGGTTGAAAGAGAATGTTAGCTTCTTTAGCATTACTCCCCCCCCCAAATACTTTGGTTTCTTTGAGTTTTGAGAAAAACCTCTTCTCAGAAATTATTTTTTGTATGCTCTTTTACTTTTTATCATTCTACATTTCTCCTGTTAATTTGAAACTTGAACTTTTTGTGTGTGTTCTTTTTGAGTTTACCTTAATATATTTTAATGTGTATACCTAACAAAGTCTAAATTAAGCAATTTCTGTAGCCTCTTCCTCAGTGATATTCAGGACCTTAAAGTGTTTTAGGTGTGATTATAACCTCCATTAAGTTATATGGTTATACATTAGTTTTCTACTAAATGATTATTTTTGTTCAGTTTTCTTTAGATTTAACTATATGGTTACCAATGTCTTTGCTGTCAGATCTCTTTTGGATCATTTTCTTTCTGCCTTAAGAATATACCCAGAGTAGCTCTGGCTGCAGCTACATCAGCCCTGGCTGGTGTGGCCCAGTGGATTGAGCACGGGTCTGCAAACCAAAGGGTGGCTGGTTCAATTCCCAGTCAGGCCACATGCCTGGGTTGTGGGCCAGGTTTCCAGTGGGAGGCACCTGAGAGGCAACCACACATTGATGTTTCTCTCCCTTTCTCCTTCCCTTACATTCTCTGTAAAAATAAAAAAATAAAATCTTAAAACATATGTGTATATACCCAGAGTGACAGAATATGGTGTAGCAGGGTGTCTGTTAATAGTGAACTCTAGGTTTTTGATTGTATGACATGTTTATTTTACCCTTGTTTTTGTAAATGATTTAAGCATTAAAGGTAATTTTCTTTTCATATTCTGTCTTATGTTGTTGCTGTTGAAAAGTCAGTCTAAATTGCTGCTGCCTTTCAGGTCATCTGTCAAACCTAGCTCTTTTTCAAGAGATTTTTTTTTCTCTGTGCTTAATGTTCTGCAGTTTTACTATGAATATGGGTATAATTTTAAAAATTTTATCTTGTTGTGCAATCATAAAGGACACATGGACAAAACCAAGGCGGAGGTGGAATGAGGAGGGAGGTGAGGATGGTTGGGGTAGGAGGGAAATGCAGACAACTAACTTTACTTGAACAACAATAAAATAAAAATAAACAAAATAAAAAGAAAAGACTTAAAAATTTTATCTTGTGGTTGGTCTTCCTAGATCTGAAGTTTGATGTTTTTTAGCAATTCAGGAAAATACTTAACCATTGTTTTTTATCTTGTGAAATTTTAGTGTATGTTAGATCATTCCTCTGGGTCTTATACCTGTAATTTCATATTTTTATCTTTTTGTTTCTGGCCCTAAATCTAGATTACTTATTATTTACTAAAGTTATTATTTATTAAAGTTCTGTCGCAGTCTGTCAGCTGTGTCTAAACCACCCAATTGAATTTTTAGTTTATTTTTATTTTTAGAGGTTCAATTTATATTTTAAATCTTACAGATATTTCTTAAATAATTTTTAGAATTTTTTTTTGAAACATCTTAAGCATTGTTTTAAATTGGATTTCAGATCATTCAAACATCTACAGGCAGTACAGTCTATGATCTGCTGTTTAAGCCTGGTCTTACTCATGGCACCTTGTTTCTTTTTTTTTTTTGGTGTTTGACTGTACATTCATATTCTTTAAAAATTTCTGTGGGAATTTTTTGAGGCCTACATTGAAATTGCAGTTTTCCAGTAAGGATTTACCTTTGTTTCCACCAATAGCCTAGTGACTATTAGCATTAACAAGGTAGGTGATATTAACAAGCCAAGATGATTTTAAAATATCTATTAGATTTCTAGCATAACTCAGGCAAATACAGGCCTTAAATAGACTCTAGGGCTGGCTCATGATTACAGTTTCTCAAAGGAGATTTTTAAAAATCTTTTTAATATCAGCTTCCTTTTTCTCCCCATTTAAAACATTTTAAAATAATATGTCTTATTTAACCCAGTATATCCATAACAATATATAATTTGAGCAGAAATTTAAAAGTTACTTAAAAATTTAAAAATTATTTAAAGGATATTTGACTTCGTAGTTTTCACACTGAACCTTTGATAGTCAGTGTGCATTTTCACAGCAATGTCAGTTTGGGGCTGGCCACATTTCAAGTGTCCACGAGGTGATATGGCATTTTGTGGGTAATGTATTGGATAGTGCAGATAACCATTCTGGTTCCGCATAGCAAAAGTTCTCAAGTGTACTGTTCCTCTGCCCACTCTGTGTGTGGTGGGCTTATTTTTGTTTTACCTTGCACTGAGGATGTAACTTTGGATTCTAAGCTTTTTTCATGAATATTCGATATGACTCCTTAACTTACGGGGCTTTATAACCAGTCTTCTTTCCTGTCTGTAGCCTTCAAAGCAGAAGGTCTAAGTTAATTACCAGGGTCTTGAAGATCATTTGAGGTTGAAAGATTTATGGCTTCTGCTGATTCCATACTTTCCTCCACCACCCCTTTTGCCCTCCCATCCTGCATTTTACTGCACAATGTATACTACTCAATGGATGATTAGAAAATTAATACCTGAAGAAATAGACATTACCTGCAGAAAAGATTCACCTCATAACCCCTCCAATCATTACCTCGTCTCTCCTAATCTGTCTTGAATTCTAATACTGTTTTACTCATTTTTGACTTTACACAAATGATACATACAGTATTTTAAAAAATTCTTTTGTTGATAGACATTTTGAGTTATTTTCAGTTTCTGGTTATTGCGGATAATTCTGTGAACTATATGCACACATTTGTGTAGGATATATATCTAGGAATAGAGTAGATGAATCAAAGGGTATTTATATGTTCAATTTAGTAGATAACGCCAAACAATTTTCAAAAGCGGTTGTTTTAATTTACCTTCCAGGTGGCAGTATATGAGACTTACTCTTAATCTACATCCTCCCCAGCATTTGGCATTTTAATTTTAGCCACTTTAGTGGTGTGTCATGGTATCTCAGTGCATTTCATATTACATGAAAATGTATAGAAATAGCCAAAATGTCAATAATCCTATTGAAAAAGTGGTAGAGAAATGAACAGTTTACAGAAAAATAATTCATAAATGATTCTTAACCATGTGAAAAGATATCAGCAACACTCATGAAAAGGGAAATACAAATTAAAACTGGAGTGAGATATTTACTACTTAGCAGATTTGCAAAAAATGCAAACTGTCAGCATACTCTGGTGGGGCCTTGGGCAAAGGGGCTTTTTCTTACAGTGCTGTTAGAAATGTGTATCTTGCCCCATTTTTTTATTTGCACCTTTTCTGTTTTCTTATCTTTTAGTTATTCCTCTTATAAATAGCATATGGATTTTTTCATTCTCACAATTTTTGACCCTTAATTGGAGGATTTAATTCATAATACAATTCCTGATAATTTGGGATTGAAATCTGACTCAGTGCTTCGTATTGGTTCCTCCTGTTTTAAGTTCTTTTTTGGTTTCTTTGGTTATTTTTGCAGTTTCATATTTTCCCATATGTATTAGTTGCATAGAAATATTTTTTCTGTTTTAGTAGTTTTCTCTAGAGATTATACTATCTTTCCTTAATTTATCAGCATCAAGTATAATATTGAAAATTCCACCTTTTCCTGGAAAATACAAGGGCTAACAACTATCTGTATTGTTTTTACATATTTAATTCTGTATGTGTATGTGCCTCATAACCATTATTCTAATTGCAGTCTATGCAATAAGTATTCATATAGATGTACCTGCATAATTGTCATTCTTTTTGCCTTCTCAATCTCAGACTTCAATATGGAATCATTTTTATTATGCCTAAAGAATGCCTTTTAGCATAATTTCTTTAGTGTGGGTCTTCCACTGATGTTAGATCATCTCAGTTTTTATTTTTCTGGAAACATCATTACTCTTCAAAGATACTTGTGCTGGTGTAGAATTCTGTGTCAGCTGGTTTCTTCAAGTACTGGAAGATCTTGTAATCTTTGACTTCCCATTGCTTTTTTTGAGCAGTCAACTTAGTTCCTTTGGAGGTAATCTATGTGGTATTTTTCTGATGACTTTCAAACTTTTCTTCTTTTAAAAAATATATTATATTGATTATACTATTACACTTGTCCCATTTTTTTCTCCCTTTATTCCCCTCTGCCCTGACCGCCCCCTTCCACCACCATTCCCCCAGCTTAGTTCATGTTCATGGGTCATACATACAAGTGCTTTGGCTTCTCCATTTCCCATACTAATCTTAACTGCCCCCTGTCTATTTTGTACCTACCATTTATGCTTCTTATTCCCTCTATCTTTTCCCCCACTCTCCCCTCTCCCCCTCCCCACTGATAACCCTCCATGTGATCTCCATTTCTGTGAATCTGTTCCAATTCTAGTTGTTTGCTTAGTTTGTTTTGTTTTTGTTTTTTTAGGTTCGGTTGTTGAGTTGTGAGTTTGTTGACATTTTACTCTTTGTATTTTTTATCTTCTTTTTCTTAGATAAGTCCCTTTAACATTTCATATAATAAGGGCTTGGTGATGATGAACTCCTTTAGCTTTACCTTATCTGGGAAGCATTTTATTTGCCCTTCCATTCTAAATGATAGCTTTGCTGGGTATATAGTACGGGACAGAGCCTTAGATGTTCTTTAGGGTGGGGCAACCCTTGTCACTATGCTGTGGCGCTGTATATAGGGGATGGGTCCGAAAGGGAACAATGCCCAGCTCTCAGTGGGCTTTCAGTCACTTCCTCAGTTAACCACAAGCAAGTTGGGCCCTTCTGGTGCTGATACCTGGGTGGGCGGGTTTGTGTACATTCTAGGACCCTGTGGGTCTCTCCAGTGAACTTTCCTGTGAGGCTGGGAGTTTCTCCCACCACAGCCCACACGGATTTTTTTTTTTTGGTCAGAGGTTTTAAGGCTTTATTTTCTCACGCTGGTACCTCAGGTTGCATGGTCTGTCTGGCTCCCTGGTTGTTCCTTCAGTCTTATCCATACCCAAGTACGGGACTGCCTGGTCCTCTGGCTGCCACCTTGTCTTGAGTTCTCCCCACCTCCACTGCCTGTCTCTGCCCCTCTTACCTGTCTGGATGAATGTTTCTTCTTCAACTCTTTGGTTGTCCGATGTCCATAGAGCTTGATTTTCTGGCCTTTCTGGTTATTTCTTGTTTTTAAATTTATTGTTGTCCTCTTTTTGGTTGTGTGAAGAGGCCAAGTCTATCTACCTGTGCCTCCACCTTGGCTGGAAGTCCTCTAAAATTCCTCTCACTGACTTTCGACAATTTGATATTCCTAGATGTGTGTGTGCATGTGTGAGTATACGTGAGTTTTGAATTTATGCCTTGATGTCTCATTATTTTTGAAAATTTCCAGCCAGTCTTCTCAGATATTGCTTCCGTTGCATTCTTTTTCACTCTTCTGTGGGGATCCAATCATACATGTGTATGTCCCCTTCATATGTTCTTTTTTAAGTCTCCATTTTAGGGTGATACAACTTTAATGATTGATTTGTGGCAGCTTTTTGGGGGGTGTCTAGAACTTTACTGTGCTTAAATAAGTGATGGTATATAGTGAGTAATCTGTTTACCCAAATGTGTGGAGGAACACTGAGTAGTGCATGGCCCTCTTATTTTGTCATGAAATAGCATTTGTTAAGGCTTTTTATTTCTAGATTTGTCTATCCTTTTCAGCAGATGGCCTAGTTACTGTTGTCTAAACTTCTACGCCAGCTTTATAACATCCTTTCTCTTGATGTCAATACTATTCTGTAGGAAAATTAATCTATCTGGTACACAGGATGTTCAAGAAGAGAGGAGATACTGCAGACACAAAGTGGAAATAAGTGCATTAATACATGTATAAAGTAGTCAGGAACACATAGGTCTATTTGGATAATGGGATTTTGTCTTTTGTATTTTGTTCTTTCTTGGATGGTGCAGGCTTCTTTTTCTTCACACTTCATGTACTCTTTAAATGCTAATATGAGTTCTCAGATTATCTTCTCAGATGTTTCTGGGTTTAATGGAAGGTGTGGAATAGGAGAAAAACTTTTTTGTGAATAGCGGTAAGATTTTAAAAATTAGTAATAAACATTTTATAGTTATGTCCTTTGAAATTAGCCTTTAGAAGAAACATGAAGTTTTGACTAGTGTTAAAAATTTCAAAAAGTAACCAATAATATTTTTGTTTATGTAGACCTTTAATATTGATGTGCGGCAGTTACATTGGGCAGAGTACATAGAGAACTACTGTATGGGAACTAAGAAATATGTTTTGAATGAAGAAATGTCTGGCCTCCCTGCAGCTAGGAAACATCTGAACAAGTAAGTTTTACATGGATTTGATTTTCTCTTTTCTTCCTAATGAAATAGTAGAGGGTTTTTTTATAAGCTGCTATAGTGAATGAAAGATACTGCTAATAATGTCTTACATTTGGGAAGAGTGCTTACCTTTGGAGTAGAACTTTGGTAATATTGATTTAGCCTACTATTATTGAAACTTGATATCCTCATCAACTTACACTCTTCCTTAGCACAGTGTGCAGGTATAATTCAGTTTTAAAAATCACCATTATCTTCCGTTATAGTGTTCCTGAAGAAGTAAAGATATTAGGAAAAATATATATATATTTTAAACTGGAGGTAATTTATTTATTTAAAGGGTTTTTTTTTGCCCTATCTGATATATCTTTGAAAGGAAAAGAGATATAATAATACATTATTTAATATGGAGTTTTTCTTTGTTTATAAGAGTTATAATTATTTCTGTTAGTATCTTATAAAAGTAATACATTTGGATTATTTAAAAAAACACAGAAAATAGAAGAGGCAAAATCATTGTTAATTTATCATTCAGAAATGCCATTTAAATTTTAGTGGTAATCTATTTTATTAATAGTTTAATAATATGATTTTTATGACAGTTTTTAAGACTTTCAACATTATTCTTGTGTCTGCAACCCTATGAGATTTTGTAGGGCACTTAGGTGTGTGTATAGGTAAGGAATTGAGGTTTAGGGAAGTTGTGTTTGCCTAGTGAATTGTATTAAGTGACAAAACAAACCAGTGGCCTTTGACATGTAATTCAAAGCTCTTTTGTCTATACCAGTTGTCCATATATTGTAGTCCTATCTTATACCACCTGTTGAAGTTAATGGACTGTATGTAACATTACTGCATATCTCAAGGTTTGCATTCTTTTCTAACACCATTAAAAAACATAAAGTGTTTTGAAACACAAGTGAGATAAATAAAACACATGTTACTTAGAGAATGGAAGTGTCAACCTGTATAGAGCTAGTGCCATGTTTCATTCATGAATGTATTCTTGTCCAGTTGGTCTTGGATCATGTAACTGTCAGCTATAATAGGAGGAGTAAGTTCACTTGTTTGACAACTTGTAAGCAGATGTCACAGAGATGTTTATTTTGTCTGTAGGATGATGTACATAATGAACAAACATTTTTAGGAAGAAAAAGCTCCAAGTATTTGAGGGACATGTCTGTTTTACCTGCAGTGTGCTTGCTGCCTAGCACGGTACTGGGCACACGAATGGATGTTTGGTACTTGCTGAATGAACAAATTTGCATCTCAAATATGCTGTGATAAAAAAGCTCTGTGTTATTTATTGTTAAAAGGGGAAATATATTGTTTAATGGACTGCAGTCCAGAGTATGGGCAGTCAGGTGTGACTTTTGCTAACTTTATAACTTAAAGATTTATAGTTTTTAAATAAATTTCAAATTAATTTGGATTTGAACTTTGATTATGTTAAAAATGGAGCATTCATTATGTGCCATTTAACAATATTTTATTCTAGAAAATATTGCCTAATACATTTCTTGATTTGCTTTCAGGTTGAGGAACATACGTTATGGTTTCAATACTATCCTTGTGATCCTGATCTGGCGCATTTTTATTGCAAGATCACAAATGGCAAGAAACATCTGGTACTTTGTGGTTAGTCTGTGTTACAAGTTTCTGTCATACTTCCGAGCATCCAGTACTATGAGATACTGAAGAAAAGAATTTAGCATTAGAACATCTATGCATATATGGTGGTCTGAATGCACAAAATGTAAAATGTACTTAAGTCATCTCACCTTTTGTCAAGACATTAAACCATCTTAGATCAGAGTGTGGAGTAAATTATAGTACATTTTATGTAACATTTTAATGTTTATGCTCATAAAAATCTAGTGAACACACTGTGGTATGCCAGCTCAGATCTGCAATAGCCACCAAAAACCATGACTTAATATTTTGATCCCTTGGGAAAGGGGTGGGGTGAGGGTAGGAGTGGGGATATGGGAACACTGACCAGTATAACTGTGCAATTCTGGAACACATTAATTAAAATATGCCTTAACATATAGTGAATTTCTAATTTTAATAATTAGTGCAATGGAAAGCATTTATTTGGACAGGAATACTAGCTAAGTTGGTAGGTATTTGATTCTTCAGTGTTTTTTTTCATCAGTCGAAGTTTTGTTAAAATTATAGCCAAATTATTTTCACGTCATCCTGTAAGTTACTGAGTGGTCTCAGACACGAAAGACATGTTACCATTTTTCTTTCTATGATTAAAGTTCTGATGCATATCATTTTTTATAAGCAATCAGTTGCTTTCATAATCAGAAGGCTATATATTATTCTAAAGATCCTGCTGGATCTAAATGGGTTTATAAATCCATAACAATGTATGCTATGTGTTTTTTGAAGGAAAAGGAAATGAAAATGAACTAAATAAGACTATTAGCATCCAAAAATAAGAATACATTATTCTTGTCCACGTTTTAACCAAATAGAAATCAGTCCTGTGTGAGATGTCATTCATGTTTTGAAGCTGAAGGATTTCTTGAGACTTGGGCAAATGAGGGGTTGGAAAGGGATTCACCATACTTGTACTCTCCTTCCTTTATAATTTTATTAATTAATAAGAGTTTCAAAAGGCTTATGCTGTCTTTCCAGTGAAAACTGAAAACTGCATTATTATGGAAGACTATATTTGCAGACAGACATAGTGTTAAGAAAATGTTTTCACATGTGTGTAAACACATACTAACTTTTGACCTGGAGAGCTGAATTCATTCAAGAAAAATAAAATGCATAAAATAACATGTATAAAATTAAATAAAGGATTTTATTTACATACCACATAAAGTAGCAAGCTGTTGAATTAGTTTGAAGATAATCATTTATTTTTTTCTGCATGCAGTTTTAGCTTTAAAAGAGATGCATTATAGAAACAAGTAATAGCAAGAAAATTAATGTATATTTTAATGATACATTATGATTCCCTTTAAACCTTAATATAATTAACTCTCCTTACTGTTTTAACATATAGTTGGTTTAACAGGTTGATCACTATAACATGTTTTAATTTAGCTGATCAAGTTGCTCTATATTTAAATTATCAACAGTATATCTTGAATGTATTTAATGAGGTCAGTTCACAATACAAAAAGTTATATAGGACTTTACATCTTAATTTTCTTTGTCAATTTGAATGTAACGTATAAGTTTATTTTGTTGTGAAAAAACTAAGCGTAAAGGAAATCACCTTCTCACATGCAGGTGTGTAGTCTTAAAAAGAAAAAATGCTTCCATGTTGAAGTGAGCTTTTCTGTAGTAAAACTTCTAAGCATTATTATTTTAAAAGAAGTATGGGTGTATGTGTGTGTGTGTGTGTGTGTGTGTGTGTGAGAGAGAGAGAGAGAGAGAACATACACACACACATGAATTCTTTGGAATGACACTGAAGTCTCTGGTCTAGGACCATACCTTGTTTAAGGTGTGAGAGACCATGACAGCATCTAAAGATGGAATAAATGATGATGCCTTTGATTTAAAGTGGCCCACGTATAGATGCTCTGTACATTGAGTGCTCCATCTCCCTAAGTACGTTTCCATAATGTGTTGAATACATGCTCACAGTTGTATGATTTTTATACTCCTGCCAAATATACTGAGAATCAGATGAATTGTCTTTATATCTTGAAAAAAATCAGGTACAACTTCAACAGGCATGTGACATAATACATTTGAGGTGTATGTCTTTTGAACTGAGTCCTGGTTCTTACAGTCTAACTTAAATGCTATCTGGGAGGGTGCTGAGGCCACTGCATTAATTTTGTGTATGTGTTTAACAAAATTCTGTTGTCCAAAGAAAGCTAATGAATAATTGACATGTCATTCCAGAAGTTAAAGTTCTAAAATTAGTATAAAGCACACATAGATCGTTAATTCCCACTAACTAGACGTCAAGCTTAACTCAAATTTTAAAAGATTTTGGGAATTATTTATAATTGTCATTTGTCAGAAGTGGCTTTCAGTTCAATTTGATTATAATTTCTAGACCTACTCAATTTTTAACAAGATAGCTTATTAAGTTAAATAAATTCAGTATTTCTTTAACTTACTTGATAAAGCTGTGTTGTAAAACATTTGTTTTTACCCCATTAACTTTGATTCTTATAATTCTGTCACATGCATTTGTCAATTGTGACTGTATTTAAATGTGACTTGGCAACATTAATGTGTCCTAAAACTCAGCACAAGAAGCATGGCAATACATTCTTTGATTTAAGGATGGCATAAAATAAATGCTTTTTGAATCTGTATAATAAAACTTGGAAGCAGGGAGGAAAAAATCTTATTTCTCCCACCCTCCTTTTTTTGTGTTTGTCTATAGGAACTGGTTCAGGGCTTTGTTTGCTTTTTGTTTTAAATGTAAATTGATTTTATAAGAAGTAAATAGTAGCATTATTGGGTGCCTTTATTTGTAAACCAAAAAGTAATAAATGAATCCCTATATTTTCATTATAATACTTATGGTGTTTTTACAATAATTATCCTGAAAATTACCAGTGAGATAATGTGATTAGGATTACAGGAAGCAGTCCTCACTTATAGTTCTTACCTCTTTTCAGGTGTACTCATTACTTCTTATATCCTAATTTCATTTAATCCCAAATTTCTTACATAGCATTTTAGGGGAAACACATAGTTAGGATGAATACTTTTTGTTGAAGTATTATTTTTATGTATTTGCTGAGATGGGGAGATTACCAGTATATTGTTAGGCTCCAGCTACTCTCCTCTACATTGAATATCCTTTTAATTTTTAGATATACTTAATAGCAATTTATCTATTGAGTAAGTGTAAGGATCATTCATTAGGAATAGAGATAGCCCATATAAAAGGAGAAAGCATCAGGCTGAGGTTCAGGTGAGTGTAAATGGCCAGCTTGCTTTTCTGGGCTGACTCCAAGCCCTGACTTAAAACCAGTAGTACTGACTTGCTCTATTTTGAGAAAAACTCTCTAATTCTTTGCATGGAAGACTAGAGACAGAAATGTGTACTGCATAATTTGATATAGGAATGGGTTAATTAAATTAATATCCTGATAAAATAAGTATGAAATATTTTCTTATTGAATTAATATTTTTATCTTCAAGTATTTTCTAGGCTTAGAGTGAATTTGTCTTTTTAAAAAAAATCTCTGCTATCCTTAAGATTCTTAAACAAATCATCTTTGTCAATTGAGCATAGATGTGCAAAATTGTTAACTAATTTCTTTGATTTTTCTTAATTAAAGAAATATTTGAGTAACATTAGTTAAGTTTGACGTGCTCCTTTGCAAGTTGATGGTTCTCAAATAAATTTATTTAGAAAAACAAAGTGGTAAGTATGAATTTAATATCTTGACTGTAGGCTTGAACTCAAATGAATAAATCTGTGTCTCCTCCTCTTTTTTTTGGTCACAGATCACAGACAGTACCTGTAATTTTATAAAAGAAAAGAGAGGGATAGGGTCTCCTCCCCTCTCAGCCCCTCTCAGCCCCTCTCCTCCTCCTCTCTCTTTCTCTCATACATCTTTGGAGAGTTTACCTTGGGTTTTTGTGAGCAAGGTGTGATTAGAAAATGTTAGGTTTGAACCAAATGAAAGTGCTAATATTTGATAGTCTTTAACCTGTAGACAGTTCCATATAACTCAACCTAGTGTTAAAGTTGCTTTTTTGGTTTTTATTTTTTATCCTCATCTGAGGACATTTTTTTTCATTGCTTTTACAGGGGAAGTGGGGAGGGAGAGAAACTTCAATGTGAGCAAGAAACATCAATTGGGTATCCTCTCCTATAGGCCCTGATAGGGGATCAAACCCACAACCAGGGTATGTGCCCTGACTGGGGATCGAACCTATGACCTTTTGGGTGATGCTCCAACCAACTAAGCCACACCAGCTAGGGGTAGAGCAGCTTTTTTAGCTTTATTTTTGTTCTTTTTTAAAAAAATTTATTTAGTTATTTTTCAAGTACAGTTTTTCATCTATTTCTCCTATCCCAGCCCCCTCTGCCCCGTGCTCCCCACCTCCCTCCCATTTCCTACCCCCCAGTTTTAGCTTTATTTTTGAACAAACACATGAACTTAAACATACAGATGAATGTACTTTTATTTAAAATAGTTGTCCCAGGAGATTGTGTATTTATTTAATCAGTTTTTAATTGTTTGACATTTAATACCTAATTTTCTGCTGTATGTTACATCTTTCACAGATTTCTGTTACTTCTCCCCACTTGGTTTTGGGTTTCTTGAGAGGAAAACCAGCCTTGTACCTTGTACACTGTAGAAATAACATTAACAGACCTTTTGTTTAGTACTTATGTGCCAGACACCACGTAAGCATTTTGTGTGTATTCACTCATTCAGGCCTTACAGCAATCCTTTGAAGAGGGTACTTCTGTTATCCGTATTTAATAGGTTGGTAACTTCAAATGACATAATTTAACCCATGTTACGGTGGCAGAGTCAAGATTTGAAATTAGCCTAACTCCAAAGCTACACTTGTCTACCACACTGTACTGCATTTCACTTGGAAACAGAGTTGTTTCTGGACTATTCCAAGTTGTTCTCTGAAATATTCTAAAATGTCTTTATTTGGTTTTTTCATTTCTAAAATCTATCATTCATCCATTCAACAAATACTACCTATTATGGGTTAGGCACTGTGTTTTTGTATTGCAAAGATCTGTGTGTTTCTATCACTCGCCACACTAACCTTCTCGGTGGTCCAGAACCAAATATGAAACTGCCTACCCACTGGGATTTTATGACTTAATGTAGGTAAGGAAATATAATTTTAATAAAACATTTTTAAAAACATACTGAAAGCAGAGAGGACTGATTTACTCGTTAGTGTTTCAGGGAAGGGCTTGTAGAAACATGACACCTGAGTTGTGGTTTGATGTCTGATTGGGAGGAGGGAGGGGATAGGGAAGTGTTCCAGCCACAGGACGTGTGAGGGCCAAGAGGCGTGAGGGGCACCTAGGAAGGAAAGTTTTTGGTGCTCAAAGCTAAAATGACTAAGGAAAGATGAGGTTTGGGGGACAGTTGGGCCTTTGCATGCTCAGAATGCACTATAGGCTGTGGAGTCACTTGTCAAAAACTAAAAGTGCCCACAATTCCTATTAGATTTGAGTAGATTTTGAACTGTAAATGACCTGACCACTTACATTTTTCCCTAAATGAACTGAACTTATGAGGAAAATGTCATACAGTGATGTGTATAGTAAATAATATCTCAGTTAGCTTATCTTTTATATTATATATAGCCAGGTAATTCAGCAAGTAAAGGTTGCTACTAGAGAAAGAATATTTGGGGGGTGGGGGTGGGGGGAGGGCAGAGCCTTACCTGAAATATAAATAATGTTAAAAAAGTAATCAGGAAGAAATTGTCAAACATGCTTATTTAAATTAGATGAGTTCTCAGGTGAGCTCACATTCTTTGGAGTCTTGCTAGAGTTTTCAAAGAATCGAGTCATAAATCACGAGCAAACTGAAAATCCTGTTTCTCCCTGGATGATGCATATCCCTTGGCAAATAACCTGCAGAGTTCATTTCTGCTAACCTCCAAACTAGAGCCTTCATGTCTGGCCTGTGACCAAAATTAACTGGGTAACTTAAACACAGAGATTCTCAGGACCCAACCCCAGACTTTCTGATTAGTTAAGATTTCAGAAGACTGGGGATCAGGATTTGAAAATTCACTCCCCAGTGATTCTAATGATGACTGAGGTTTGCTTTTCTTTCCCCTAAGCCAGTAGTATGCAGCGGGATCATCTGAGGAGCTCTGTACACGCAGGCCTGGGCCCCACCCAACGGCCTTTTAATAGCAGAGGTCTGAGATGAGGACCAGGTACGTGTTTATGAACAAAGGCTCGTTTATGAACAAACTTTATGGGTGATTTGACAAACTCGGGGCACCTCTTGGAAGAAAACATCCTAGAATTTTTACCCAATAAGACAAAAGTAGATGACAGAAATGTGCAAAATTGCAATTTAGCAATTTTCAGCAAATTCCACTGACAGTACAAGCATATTCTGATTGTTTTTGTTAGTGAGTACTCCATATCTGCAGCTCTGACATACTATTCCATGGTAACTGTAGAGCCCAAGGACCTGGTCACTTCTAAAATGAAAAAATACTATTTTAACAAAACTCGTCCATAAGGACAAAGAAGCAGAACATTAGTTTTTCTGTGAGACTAGGAATGAACTGACTGCCACTTAACCAGCAGTGTGACCATGAATGAGTCGGTTAACCTCTCAGCCTCAGGTTCCACGTCTGTAAAAAATGCCTACCTGTGAGGGCGGTTGTAAGGATTAAATGATGAAATGAATACAAAGAGTGGCACACAGTAAATGTTAAGTAACTCTGCCCTCAAAATCAATAAGTCCCAAACTGTGCAGTGAATTACGTTAGAATTATATTAATGTGACTCAATTTATATTCTCTGATTTTGCACTGTGATTTCCCATTTCTAATATTTCTATCACATTTCTGTCAAGAAGTACAAATTCTAAGTATTTTGAATAAAACAAATCAGTTCTCTCCCCTTGCAATGCTAGTATTTATCACTTAAATTGAGCATCATCTCCACTGTGGCTTTTCTGCAACCAACAGCTCTTACTCACCAGGATGGAGTGAGGATTCTTCAAACCTTCCCCATCCAAGAACAAAATCCCCTCTTTCTCACTTCACCCATGGGCAGAATTCTTTAAAGATGGCCAGTTCCCAAATCATCCGTCCTCACAGACCTTTTTGTTAGCCACACCTTGAGACAACTCACCCTCTTTCTCTACCCCAGTGATCTGCATTCAGTTGGTTGTTAAGCAAACACTAGTTTGTCTTTAGGGCATTGAGAGATTTGTAGCATTTGACGGGTTCCATTTTTGTTCCAAGAACATTTTGCAAGTTTCCCTCTTCTTGGCTTGTACTTAAAAGATGAGTGTATGACTTGGTTTTTCTAACTCTATAACTTGACTCCTAGAACATTTCACATTCCATTAGCCCTATGCTGTAGTTCTCAGCCCTGACAAAGTGAAGGCACAAGGACGCTCAGTGACCTGTAACAAGAGCTTTAAACTGCCCAGGAACAAACTCAACTGAAATGGAAGGGAAGCCATTTCACCCTCACATGCAATACATTTTTATTTTAAATCTTCCTATATGAACGAGGCTCCTACGATCAAAAATCTTCAGAAGAGTCTCACAGCTAGAAACTGCAAAGTAGTAAGTAACCACATGTGTTTGGAAAAATTGTTAAATCACAGGTTCTTAGCTCTAGATTCTGGTCTTTGTGGCTCCAAACATTCCACACAGCTTCATCCCCCTTATTTTCAAAGAACATACAATGTTTCCACATTCAGTTGCTGGTTCCTGCTCTTCCAGGCTTAAATTATTTTTCCCATTGCAGTTTAAGCCAATACATTCACAAAATAAATACTTTAAAAAATTGTCATTGGCTAGAACTTTCTAGTGCCATTTAAATTGAGTTTCTAATTCTGACTCAGCCTGCCCTTTGGAGGTGCCCCTCCCCAATTCTCCCTAAGAGGGAGGTTCCTGTGTTGAATGCACCTCTTTTGCCCCTGCAGACCCGCTCTCCTCTCTTCACACCGCTCTTTGCCACAGCAAGCTGACCTTTGTGGATAACACATTTGGTTCTGATGCTCTGGTTTCCAGGTGGGTTCAGCCAGTGAGAGGCACTGGCAGGCCCCAAGGACCGGAGGGAAGAGGATGAGGCTGGAGCATTTATTTCTTAGTCCTGGGCTCTGGTTACATGGTGATAGTGTCCATCTACCACATGGCACTGCTTCTGTAGATGGGTCTCACTCTGACAGCTCCACGTTTCTCAGAGCCCTCGCATCTGCTTCCTCCCTTCACCTGCAGCTCTCCACTGTTGCTCGTGCCTGGGCTGCACTGTCTCTTGGCTACCGCAGCCCTGCTTGTGCTTTTGCAGTCCCTTCCTGAAACTGGACTTAGATACAGCTCCTTATCTAGAACTTGGCAGGCTGCTACCTTCCACAGGTAGAATTCAGGACTCCAACTGTGGTGGAGTTAAGCCTGTTGACTGGTCCTGGAAAAATACGCATGCCTTTCTCTCTTGCAAGGTGGCTGCTACTTGCACTGGTACCTGGTGTGGACACACTGTTCGTTACTCCAGGGGAATCATCCTGCCTTTTCACATGTGTGTCACTATGGAGCAGGTGGTTCACTTCATGGGTTTAATCAGCTCACTAACATCCAGAAGGCAAATTCTTTGCCTCCCAAAACTCCAC